AGGCAATTTAACATAATCACTAAATTGAGCTGACTTTATAAACTGAATCAACAATTCAGATTAAATAGTTGAATGGAGTCAGATGGATTCAAATCCGTTTGACAGTCTGGAAGGGCTTTTGCACTCAAGAGCCCTTTTCATCAAATGGATTGAATAAAATCAAATTGAATTGGTTTATTGTTATAAATCATCAAATAAATGACTCATGGCAAATCAAATATTCGAATTGGGATCACAGCCACTTTTTTACATGCCTATAGACTGTAGTAGCTAGAATCCTAAATAGCAGTACTCCATACTACAATATTTAGGATCAAAAACCAGTTTGGTATATTTATCTTCAGTACTTGAGGATGTACATAAATCTGAGGTGCTATCTATCTATCTATCTATCTATCTATCTATCTATCTATCTATCTATCTATCTATCCATCCATCCATCCATCCATCCATCCATCCATCCTGCCTTTATTATTTTATAAATAACTCAAGATGGTAAACATACCAAATACTCCCTCCTATTTTCCCCACAACAACCCTGTGAGGACAGTTGGGCTGAAAGATGGTGACTGGCACAAAGTCACCTTTCATAGCTAAGGTTGCACTAAAACTCAAGGGTCTGGTTTTTAGCCTGGTACCTTAAGTACTAGACCAGTGATGGCTAACCTTTATGCCGCAGGGTGCCAAAAGCAGGGGGAGCGCGGGGTGTTGCACGCATGCGTGCCCACATCCACAATTCAATGTGCCCCACCCCCCCGTGCATGCACGTATGACCCCCCCCCCTGTGCTCCCCCGCTTTTGGCATGCGATGGCATTTTTCACCCTCCCCAGGCTCCAGAGGCTTTCTAGGAGCTTGGGGAGGGCAAAAACTGCCTTCACCACCCTCCTAGAGGCCCTCCAGAAGCCGGAAACAGCCCATTTGCCAACCTCTGGTGGGCCCGGAAGGCCCAAAAATCAGTTGGCCTGCACGCGCATGTGCGCTGCAGCTGAGTTAGGGCAATGCTCGCGTGCCCACTGATATGGCTCCCCGTGCAACCCGTGCCATAGGTTCGCCATCATGGTACTAGACCAAACCTACATATATATATATATATTTGGTCTAGTAGGGGTTTGTGTGTGTGTGTGTGTGTGTGTGTGTATTGGTATGTATATGTGTGTGCATGTGTGTATATATGTATATATATATAAGTTTCAAATCATATAGACTTGAATAACAGTGCCAATACAGAGAAACCAAAGCCACACTGTTTATACAAAAGCAGAAAAAGAAAATACAGCTATAGAATCCTCTACAGAACTTGGTTTTGTGAACTAATATTTCTTACATATCTAATCAGTCCTTTTGTAGTGTTGCTTTTTAGTCAGGTGTGACCACTCAAATTAGCTTAGTTATGGAACTCTTTTGAGTGCTTTATAGGATCCCAACAGCACAATTATATTAATTCAGTGAATACAGGTCTTCAAAGTTGCTACCAGACTCATGCTCGGCATCTCTATTTAGTAAGGCCACAGAAACAATATTTGGGTCTGGTAGGCACACTGCAATGTTGATGTAATGATGTAATCAGAATGATAAGAATTTAGAAGACAGTTCTGTAAATAGCCACTTGCTTTAGAAGCTCATCTTATTATCATTGAAAAGAACCACCTCTTTGCCAATTACTGGAAAGTCATTAGAAAGAAACTAACAAAGTTTCTATCAAACTTTGAAACAAACAAAGGTCTAATCAATTTGGGAGTAAGTTTGTTCTAAATGGGAAATACTTCAATCACTAATACCCATATACCCTTTCACTTTCAGTTTAATAAATCTTGTTAAAGAACACTGGGATAAACGTGCTTAGAAGAATTATTTTTGGTTGAGATAGCTCTCAAAGAGCTGGACATTTGACAGGCATCTATAACTGGGTGGACACAGATATTGAAGTAGACTAGCTAGCAAATCAATGAGGTTGCTCCACATAATCATTCCTTTGAGATGCTTTTATCTCTCCATTGGCAACCATCTACAGATAGTCCTCAATTTACAACAGTTCATTTAGTGACCATTCAAAGTTACAATAGAACTGAAAAAGTGACTTATGACCGTTTTTCACAGTTACAACCCCCATGATCCTGCAATCAACATTCAGAGACTTGGCAACTGATTTATAGTTATGACCAGGGTCACATGATCACTTTTTGCAACCTTCTGACAAGCAAATTCTCACTTAACGAATTTAAATTTGGGGCTCAATTGTGGTCATAAGTCAATAAGTTTATTATCTGCTTTATTGTCTAAGCATGCCTGTGGAATATGTAGGGCCCACAGGCATTATTGCAAATAGATTCAAGTTGCATTCTGCTGCTTAATAACTTGTTCTATGTTAAAAAACTATATCCACTCGTAATATCTGAACCTACTTTCTCAGATATACACTATATTCTTGTGTTATACCCAACATCCCATTTTGATAAATGACTTGGATTATTAGACAAATATAACAATCCTACATACAAAGACCGTACATTTTATTTTGCTACTGTTGATATTTCTCGTTAAGGCCATGGCTCAAATTGTAAGGTTTATAACATCTGCTATTTTAAACGTACCAACATGAAGAAACAAATCACTTGTGTTTCTCCTAAGCAGACTGTCAAAGGCAGCTAATGCCCTGCTGTGTTTCAGGATATACTTATGCTCTCAATTCTTGGCACACGTATAATCTGTATATGAAGCAGAAAGAACTTTCAGTGTTCGGAAGACACTACATGTGCTCACCACCTCTAATCCTACCAGATAAATAATCAGATAAGAGACAAAGTATAAATTATTACTGGTAGCAGGAAATTGATTAATAAAGTCCTTTCTGTTTTAAAAATGTTACCCAAAAACTGATATAACAGAATATTACTTCCCCCTTCTTTACTTGGCAGATCATATCCACCCAATCAATTCAACATTTATATTTTGGGAGAGGGGGGAATAGAGTTCTTATCTAAATGACCAAAATTCTGAACATAGATTTCAGTCACAATACAGAGAAGCTTCTTCAAAGGTTGGTTAATTATCATAGTCTTTGCCTTCATCCAACTTGCCTCAATTGGGTTAAATTAAAAGATAACAGATGAATGTGATCATTTAAATACGTTATGTTCAGTGATAGGATCAGACCTTATAGGATCAGACCATCTGCTATTCATGAAAGTGTGTTTTAAGTCGACAATCTGTTGGGCTACACCATTTTAATTCATAACACAGTTTGTTTCATTTGTTTATTGCTTATAAACCATTGTGGGTTTCTACTGGTATACTAAACAAGTCACAAATGCAAACTATGGTCTGTGGGCTACTTTAGTAAGCCAGTAAACTAAACCTGAAAGTGTGTTGTATTATCTTAATGATTGCATGCAAGCGCGCGCACACACAAAGTTCCAATGATTTTCTTTTGCTAATTATTGCCATCTGTTACCCATTCTGAACTATCATTTTCCCTGACCCTTTTGCTCTCCTGGTGCAATCCCCCTTTTTATTCCAGTGCATTCCAGATTCCTACTTCTGGCATTCCACATGCACATTTGAAAAGGGAAATACAAGTTTAGCAATTTTACAGAGGAAATCCGGAGAAATTCAGGGTAGACAGAAGTGAGTGAAAAATAGGCATTAGGCACTATTCATTCTGTAAGTTTTTTTTTTTTTTTAAAGTTTGTCTTCTTTAAATATGAGGGAGAACGCTATGGAATAGGAAATACACGTGTGCTGCAGGTAGGCCAATCTAGAGCAGAAAAAGGATGGAGGGAAGGATTAAACATAGTTTGTTACCATTCCATCCTCTAACTCGCTCATAAACCAGTTTTTCCTTATTGCCTTTTAAAACTGAAGTATATGTGCAGTGCGTAGTTCAAGGCCTCAGCTCCAAATAATGAATTGACCAATTCTGGCAGATGACTTAAAAGTTCCTTCCCACAGGCAACAAAGCTATTGGCTCTGGTACAAGAGCAAGTATAGCTTCTTAGCTACCTTGTACTTTTGCTTTGCTAAATGGATTATGAATGACTGGAACAAAACAAGAGTCTTTATCTGCCCGGTGCTTTCCCGTACTTTGCAGGAGAGCATACCTACGAACAGGATTTGCAGAATTCATGCTTATACTTATATATATTATCTAATATGTACTCGACAAAATTAAATAAATAAATAAAAAATCAGTGCAACTGGAGTCCTGAAAGAGCCCTCGGTGTAGGCAGTTGCCTACGAAACACTTACTCCAGTGCTTTACAACTTAGCTGTTGGTAGAAGTTAGGGCCCAAGTTTACCCTTTAAAAACCCCTGTTTCCAATGGCCTAGGCGGGAACTGAACTCCAGTGGACTGACTGATTTGCAAGGAAAACACACAAGCGCCGGACTGCGTTTCTTTGAAAACAGTCCGAGCGGGTATTTTTACACTCTCTCTGAAGGATGAATTCTTGGGCAGCCCGAGTGCAGTTAGGAAACGGAGGTGGGGGGGATGGGGAGCGAGCCCAGTGTGAGGCTGGCCTCCTGCAATAGGCGACCCGTTTAGTTCCGTCCCATTAATCTCGGGGGGGGGGGGGGGGGGGGAGACTCCTTTCCGAGTCAGCACTGCAGACACGGGGCTACGTCAATCGCGGGAGGAAGAGTTCTCCGGCTACACGCGAGCCGGTCGCACTTACGACGGAACCTCAGGCATCCCACAACCTCCAACTCCTGGAGAGCGGGGAGGGAGGCTGGGCGCTCTTTCTCTCTCTCTCTCTCTCTCTCCAGCCCACCCTCCCAGCGCCTTCACGCCTTTCCTGAGCCAGGAACGAAGTGCTGGCCTTCCCCTCCCCGTTTCCTCCCCTCGACTCCGGGGGTTTTTACCAGGCCGCCGGGGAAGGGAAAGGGGAGGGGGGGGGACGTTAGAGGTCAGCCGCAGCCACCCTGAGCGCGGGAAAGGGGCGGGGGCGGCGACGGCGGCAGGACCGGCCGGCGCGAGCGGAGAGCAAAAAGTGGTTCGACTCACACGGTGAAGTGATAGACGAAGCACTTCCAGCCGGTGGGTCTCTCCAAGAAGTTGTAAACCCGGCCTTGGATGTTGCTGCGGCTGAGCAGAGGTCTGCGGACGCTGTAGATGGAGACGCGCGGGTCCAAGCTGATCGGCGGGCGCGGGAAATCGGCGCTCATCACTACCGTGGCCGCTTCGGCTACTTCGCCGCTGCTCGGCGGCTCTTTCGCGCCCTGGGCTCCTGCGGGCGAGGAGACGGCAAACGGCGCGTAGTGGGCGTTGGGGGTGTTCTCGGCCAGCTCCAGGGCGGAGGGCTTCAGGCTGCCTTTCCTGGCGGAAAGGGACAGGCGCCCCAAGCTCCACGCCTTGGAGGAGGAGGAAGAAGAAGAAGACATGGTCCCGTCCTGGAAAGCCGCGGGGAAGCCAGCCGGGGGCGAGGGAGGGGGGACGGGGGCGAGCGAGAACGCTGCGCTCCCCGGCGGGCGAAGGCAGGCGCAGCTGGAGAGTCTCAACAAACGCGCACTGGCTCTCAACACTGGCTCGCCCGCTCCGTGCCCGGCGGAGAGTTTCTCCTTGGCCCTGCCCACAAAGGGGGAGGCTCCTCGGGAAAGGTCCCAGTTCTCCGGTTCGCAGCCGGCAGCCGCCCAAGGAGTCGGGGCTCAGGAATCCTAACGCGTACGGTTCCCCTCTGGTTAGGACGACCTGCGAGTATACGCCTCATAGCTCCGTACCGTCCACATAGAAATGAGTTGCATCTTCTCATCCCCTCCTTAAGTACCCGCTAAGTGGCCAGTCGGAGGGTGGGGTGGGGGTAATTTGCCCAAGGCTACCCCGCAGAAGGGCCACAGCAGATGACAGTCGACCTTGACTGACCTCGAGAAAGCAAAACTGGATCAAAAACTTGGTTGGTGTTTGGATGGAGAGATCACCAGCAACTCTGCTGATAGGGAAGTGAAGCATATCAGAAGAAAGCCTTGCAAACGACTTCTAATGAGCTGTTCCCGCCGCCCATACAAACACACATATGAACATATTGTGTTCATCAAACTCAATTTATGGGTCTATCCACAAAGGAGATTTTTTTTTTCTACAGTTCATTAGAAGTATTCCAGCTTTGGAGGTTGCTTGGTTAACTCTTGTTTTAGGACCACTCAAAGGGACAACATTAAGCCAAAATGGGAAAGAATGACTTCAAATTGGTGCTTGAGGATTTTCTAGAGGCACTCATAAGACAGGACTTCTCATAACATATGTATTAGGGGTGCATGCAGAAGTTATAATGGACGATACATGCATAATGAAGACTTGTGCCACATTTTTCTGTGACATTGTTTCCCCTCCTCCTTTAATAATGAAGTCCATTCAAAGCACAGGCTGTGCAGTTATTCTGAGCATTGCTGCAAGACAGAGGGTAAAGCAGTGACTTGTGAAACAGGAAACCCACAACCACAAAATAATTACTTCGAATTGAATGTATTTATTTCCATGTAGAAATTATATCTTCTTTGCAGATCATCTTTGCCATGCTGTTATTTACATGATACCTGCACCCTAAGTAGTAGAATGACCACCACTTCTTTAACTGCAATGGTGATTGCTAAAATAATGTTTATGAAGCACTTTGAACTCTGTAAAGTACAATAAAAAGTATGGTAAATCTTGGCAGCAGTATTGTTTCTTTCTTAAACCACACCAAAGAGTAAATTAGTCAACTATGATTTTTTTTCCCCCAGCTGTACTGTCGTCAAACTTGTCCATTGTCCCACTTTTTTACGCAACCACTACTCAATCCCACATTGAATAGGCTTGTTTGGGTGCCCAGAGAGTTTCAACCCCTGTAGAGAGAAGCAAACTGAAGCAATGCTTTCAAGCTGAACAGGAACTAGCCTGACTATATTACATATATTAGAAATGGTCAGTTAATATGCACTGATCCCAAGAAAATAGAGAGATACAGAGGTGCTGCAGCCCTAAAACAGTTAAAGTTAAATTCTCACATAAAACATTGCACTCTTCTAATGAATACCTGTTCGTAACAGGTTGCAGTTTATGTAAGCCCCTGGCTATCAGCAAATGTATTACAAGCACCAGATAGCTGTAGCTGTAGCTAGACAAGTAAGATAGAGGGAGCTAAACATTACTGTATAATCTTGAGCCATAGAAAGCGGAAGCATTTGCAAGCAGTTCTTTTTACAAGCCATGGATTTACAGCAGAAAGAAGAGAATAAAAATGGATGGCATACCAGAAAAAAGAACATGAAAGAGCATGAGTGAGCACCAGTGAAATAACAAATGGCTTCTTACATTGAATTACGCTGTATTTGCTTAGCCATGATTTGTTGAGTAAGCTAGTATTGGCTGGATTTACACAATGTACGAAGCTCTGAGTTATATTTAGCAAACCACAAAGGCTGGGTTCACATAGTTTGTTAAACAAAATTACAAACCCACATTCTGGACACATTTCTCCATAGTTATTGTATCTGCCCAGTTGCAGCAGGCATCTAAGCTTTCAGAATTCAGTTCAACCTGTGTCAAATCACAAAAGCAAGTCATTTTGGATCTTTTCATTGGTTTGGGCTCAGTCTGCATCCCACTGTAGGATAAATCACTCCTCTTTGGACTGTGTTAAGTGCTATCGATAATAGGATCAGTAGAGTTGGAGATATATGGATATAGAATATATCCATATAGATATAGATATAGAAGCAGTATTTTCCCTTCGGTTCATTGGTGCAATTATATACATGTACCGAAAATGTACCGATTGTATTACTATATGTTATAATAAAAATCAAATTCAAAAAAAAAAAAAAAAAAAAGCAGTATTTTCCCTATGGAATTTTGTCTCTCATAGTTGTTGAAGCTTGCCAGGGGAAAAAAATGTTGATAGTCTAGTCCTAAAACGTGAATGTCACTGCAGGACTGACCGGTTGAAGTTACCACAGCACTGAAAAAGTGACTTATAGCTGATCCTCACACTCATGATCAGCGCAGCATCCCCATAGTAATGTGGTCAAAAATAGGGCTCTTTACAACCAGTATGAATTTACATTGATTGCATGTCCTGTGGTCAGCATTTACAACCTTCTCAACTTGCTTCTGACAAGCAAAGTCAATGCGGGGAAAAGGAGTCACTTAACAACTGCATGTGTCACTTAACAACTGCATGTGTCACTTAACAATTACAATGATTCACTTAAAACAGCCATGACAAAAAGGTTGTAAATTGGGCATGATTCACTTAACCACCACCTTGTTCATCAATGGAAATTCTGGTCCCAGTTATGGCAGTAAGTTGAGGACTGTTTATAAGTTCCTTTTTGTTTTCTACAAAAAGATACCTATCGTATAACCCACAAATTTGTACAAATATAATCTCATCTCGGGGACTCAGTGGCTAAGATGCTGAACTTGTCGATCAAAAGGTTGGTAGTTCCGTGGTTTGAATCCCTAGTGGGGGTGAGCTCCCGTTACTTGTCCCAGCTTCTGCCAGCCTAGCAGTTTGAAAGCAAGTAAAAAATGCAAGTAGAAAAAATAGGGAACACCTTTGGTGGGAAGGTAACAGTGTTCCATGCGCCTTTGGCATTTAGTCATGCCGGCCACATGACCACAGAGACGTCTTCAGACAGCGCTGGCTCTTCGGCTTTGAATCGGAGATGAGCACCGCCCCCTAGAGTCAGGAACGACTAGCACATATGTGCGAGGGGAACCTTTACCTTTACCTTAATCTCATCTCCCATCCTTTTAAAAGCAAAGTTCTACAGTGGATGATGGCTCCCTAATCCTGGGTAATATTGAAAAGAAGAATTTAGGTAGTCTTGGTAGAAGACCATATTGTCACAGTGCTACAGCAATCTACATGTGTATGTCAACAGTATTACTGAATATAGGCAATTATTTATCTGAAAAATAATAGAACTGGAAAAATTGCAGAAAGCAGACATTAAAATAATCAGGGAGTTCAATCAAGGAAAATCAAATATGCTGATGGCATTTCAGTTTAGAAAAAAGGCAGCTGAGGAGGCATGTGTGATCGAAGAGTAGAAGTGGACAAGGAAATTTTTTTTATCAGTTTCTCAATAGACTCAATAGACTAAAAATTATCCAGTGAAGTAGATTAGGAATGGACAAAAGAAATTTGGAGATTTAATAAATTCGTGGAGGGTAGATTGATCAAAAGCCAATAGTCTTGAATACTCAGTGTTACTACCACACTGAGAGTGGCTTGCTTCCAAATACTATACGTAGGGAAATGAGTGGGAGGCAGAAAGTTTCCACCTCCTGCTCATGAACATTCCAGAAACCTCAGATTGGTCACTGTGACAATCAAAAGGCTGGACTAGGATGGGCCTTGACTTGATCTAACAGGTTACTCTTATATTCTAATGAAAAGCTAATTTAAATACATTTCATTCTAGATTCTAACCAGTTTTGAAAGCAAAAAGTAACTAAACTCAGTAATTGCCAGTGACTGATTAAATAATGAAACCCACTGGGTTTTGCTGATTATTTTTAGCTTTTGACACTACTGACTGTAATACTCTCTGTCTCTATTATCTGATTTGGAATTAGGAGACCCACTGCTGTAGTAAGTTTGCCAGTCTTAAAGATTCATGCGGAAGCATGTTATATGTCTGTCTGTCTGTTTGCCTATCATCCATCATCTATCTACATATCTATCATCCATCCATCTATCTATCCATCCGTCTGTCCGTCCGCCCATCCGTCTGTCTGTCTGGACTAGACTAGACTAGACTAGACTAGACTAGACTAGACTAGACTAGAATAACAGTTGGAAGGGACCTTGGAGGTCTTCTAGTCCAACTCCCTGCTCAGGCAGGAAATCCTACACAACATATCTATCATCTGCTTTTCTTTCTGACATAGGAATGTGAGAAAGGTTGTGGATCTCCTGAATAATCAATTTGGTACTCTTTGGGGGCAGATAGGAAAACAATTTAAAAGTTAATCCATCGTTGTGCATTTGCAACACAGATTGTTCTAGATGATGATTAAAAACAAATGCAACTGCACACCTCTCCATAGATTAGATAAGGAATTTGGGGGTTCACTTGGTCCTCCTATCTATGAAACCCAGATGGCAAAGTGACTGTGAGTACTTCAGGGCAATATGTTGCAGCCCTGTTTTGAATCAGGATTATTGAAATAATTCCTGTCAGTCTTCTCTGAGGTTCGATGAGAAATTCCAGACGGTATGAGCATGCACTCATCGGATGATTGATACAGGGCAGAAAACAGTACTTGCATCTCATTGATGTCAGCTGCATTGGGTATCAAATTGATTTGGGGGGAATTTCTAAGTGTCTTCTATGAAAAAGTTTGAAATGGGATTACCTATTTTATCTTACCCAAACCTGCTTGAATGCTAGTTAATAGTCAGCAGCTCCACTCCCGAATCTGCCACTTAGAACAGCTAAATTAGCAAGGACAAGCAGCAGGATTTTCTTAGTGATGATGGCC